TGTCCGCTCCGACTGCCCGTCGGTCTGAGGATGGAATGCTGTGCTAAGCTCTACCCGGGTCCCCAACTCACTCTGAACGGCTCTCCAGAAATGAGAAGTGAACTGAGGGCCTCTGTCGGATATAATGGAAACAGGCACACCGTGCAATCGGACTATCTCCCGAATATAAATCTGAGCATGCCTCTCTGCTGTATAAGTAGTAGCCACTGGAATGAAGTGGGCCGACTTGGTCAACCTATCAATGATGACCCATACTGAATCAAACTTCCACAAGGTCCGCGGCAACCCAACTACGAAATCCATGGTAATGCGCTCCTACTTCCACTCTGGTATAGGCATCTGCTGAAGTAGGCCACCCGGTCTCTGATGTTCATACTTGACCTGCTGGCAATTCAAACACCTAGCCACATACTCCACTATGTCTTTCTTCATCCTCCACCACCAGTAATGCTGCCTCAAGTCACGATACATTTTTGTAGCCCCCGGGTGGATGGAATACCACGACCTATGTGCCTCCTCTAGTATCCTCTCCCTCAGACCATCGACATTAGGAACACATAGGTGACCCTGAAGCTGCAAAACACCATCCTCGCCAATAGAAACTTCCTTGGCACCTCCCTGAAGCACCGTCTCTCTGAGAACTGCCAAATGTGGATCATCGAACTGTCGGGCCTTTATCTCCCCCAGTAATGAAGACTGAGCAACCATACACACAAGAACCCGGCTGGGCTCCGAAATGTCCAACTCACTAGTCTGTTAGCCAAGGATTGAATGTCCACAGCTAGTGGTCTCTCCCCTGCTGGAATGAATGCCAAACTACCCATACTCTCTGCCTTTCTGCTTAAGGCATCTGTGACCACGTTTGCCTTGTCTGGATGATAATGAATGGTGATGTCATAATCCTTCAGTAACTCAAGCCACCTGTGCTGCCTCAAATTAAGATCCCTCTGCTTGAACAAATGCTACAAGCTGCGATGATCGGTATAAACCTCACATGAAGCCCCGTACAGGTAGTGCCTCCATATCTTAAGAGCATGAACAATCGCCGCCAACTCCAGATCGTGCACAGGATAATTTTTCTCATGAATCTTCAGCTGACGGGAGGCATATGCAATAACTCGCCCTCCTGCATCAATACACAACCCAAGCCAACGCGCGAAGCGTCACAATACACTGTATACATCCCTGAACCGGAAGGCAACACAAGGACTGGTGCTGTAGTCAAGGCTGTCTTGAGCTTCTGGAAGCTCGCCTCGCAATCATCGGACCAATGGAAAGGAGCACCCTTCTGGGTCAATCTAGTCAGAGGTGATGCAATAGATGAAAAGCCCTGCACGAACCGCCTGTAATAACCTGCTAACCCCAGGAAACTCCTGATCTCGGTCACTGAGGTGGGGCGTGGCCAACTCTGAACTGCCTCAATCTTCTTGGGGTCTACCTTAATACCCTCTCCTGACACAATATGTCCCAAGAATGCCACAGACTCTAGCCAAAACTCACACTTGGAGAACTTAGCATATAGCTTCTGCTCTCGCAAGGTCTGAAGCACTACTCTCAGATGTTACTCATGCTCCCCCAGGCTATGTGAGTATATCAAGATGTCATCAATGAAGACGATGACGAAGGAATCAATATAAGGCCTGAACACCCTGTTCATCAAATCCATAAATGTTGCTGGGGCATTAGTCAAGCCAAAGGACATCACCAGAAACTCATAATGGCCATATCTAGTCCGGAATGCAGTCTTCGGAACATCCAAGTCCCGAATCTTCAGCTGATGGTACCCCGACCTCAAGTCTATCTTAGATAACATCCTCGCACCCTGCAGCTAGTCGAACAAATCATCGATACGAGGCAACGGATACTTGTTCTTGATGGTGACTTTGTTCAACTGGCGGTAGTCAATGCACATCCGCATAGTCCCATCCTTCTTCTTCACAAATAACACCGGTGCACCCCAAAGCGATACACTGGGTCTAATAAACCCCTTTGCTAACAACTCCTCAAGCTGCTCCTTCAGCTCCTTCAACTCCTTAGGAGCCATGCGGTACAGTGGAATAGATATAGGCTGGGTGCCTGGAACCAAATCGATACAGAAATTAATATCATGATCCGGTGACATGCCAGGAAGATCAGAAAGAAACACATCGACGAACTCTCGGACTACGGGAACTGAATCAATCGTCGGAGACTCTGCGGTGGTGTCTCGAACATAAGCTAGATAGGCCAAACACCCCTTCTCGACCATACGCCGAGCCTTTAAGAAAGAAATAACCCTACTAGGGGTATCAACTGTGGAACCCTTCCACTCCAACCTCGGCAACCCTAGCATCACTAGTGAAACAGTCTTGGCATGGCAATCTAGGACGGCGTGATATGGAGACAACCAATCCATGCCCAGGATGACCTCAAAATCGATCATATCCAGCAACAGGAGATCTGCTCTAGTCTCGAAATTACAGAATGTAACCACATAGGACCGATAGACCCGATCTACAACCACGGAATCGCCCACATGAGTGGACATATGAACATGAGTGCCTAAAGGTGTAGGAGGAATAACCAAGAATCGAGCAAATAGTGATAATACATAAGAATAGGTGGACCCTGGATCAAAAAATACCGAAGTATCTCTACCGCAGACGGAGATACTACCTGTGATGACGGTATCTGAGGCCAATGCATCTGGCCTGGGTGGAAGAGCGTAGAATCTGGCTGGAGCGCCAGTTGGCTGGCCTCCGCCTGACTGAGCAGTAGCTGTCTGACCTCTCCCTGCCTGACCTCCACCTCTAGGTCGGCCCCGACCAGCCTGCCCTCCACCTCTAGGTGGATGGGCAGCTGATGCTGAAATCATGGGCTGCTGACCCTGCTGTACTGCCTTGCCCCAAAGCCTGGGGCAGGTCCTCTTCAGATGACCCGGATCTCCACACTCGTAGCACACTCTCGGTACCATAGCCTGCTGCCCTGGGGTCTGAGCCTACTGACCCGAATACCCATCGGAAGAACCCTGGATGGCCGATGGGCGATAGGAACTCTCTAGCACAGCGCTGAAGTGAGCACTAGAAGAATCCTGATAACCAGAATACCCGCCGGAGGAACCCTGAATAGCTGGTGGGCGGTAAGAACTCTCCGGCATCGCACTGAAGTAAGGTCTCACTGGAGCACCTCGGAGAGGGGGTGGTGGTGCTGAATATGAGGGTCTGCTGGGCTGGCCCCTCCCGAAGTGGCCTCTACCCCTAGCTGGGGCACCTCTGAACTCTCCTGAAAACCGGGCCCTCTTGTCCTGCTGAATCTACTCTCTACCCCTCAGGCGATACCCCTCAATCCTGCGTGCAATCTCTACTACTAGCTGATACTCAGTAACCATCTCCACCTCTAGGGCCATGCTAGCTCGAATACCGGGGTGCAACCCCGAAACAAATCTCCGCACTCTCTCTGCATCTGTGGGAAGTATCATGAGTGCATGGCGAGACAACTCAGAGAACCTCGCCTCATAATCGGTCACAAACATCTGGCCCTGCTCAAGATGCTCAAAATGGTGCCTTAGCTCTTCCCTCTCAGAAGGTGGAATATACCTATCTAAGAACAACTGGGTGAACTGACCCCAGGTGAGGGGAGGAGAACCTGCTGGCCTGCCAAGAACATAGGACTGCCACCATCTACGGGCCCTGCCCTCCAGCTGGAAAGTAGTGAAGTCAACTCCATGTGACTCCAGTATCCTCATGTTGTGCAGTCTGTCCCTGCACCTATCGATGAAGTCCTGGGAATCCTCATGTCGCTCACCCCCGAAGGTAGGAGGGTGAAGCCTAGTCCATCTATCCAATAACTTCTGCGGGTCGCCGTCCGCAGCTGGCCTGAGCTGGGGTGCCACTGCAGCAACTGGCTGGGCCCCATATGCGGGTAGTGCACCCGGAGTCTGATACACTGCAGCTGCATGTCCAGGAGCCTGAGCAGTAGGGGTCTGTGTTCCCCTTCCTGCCTGTGAGGTAGGTGGGTCTACTGGAAATAAACCAGCCTGAGTCATAGAATCCATGAACCGAAGCATACGGCCCATAACCTCCTCAAATCCCGGTGCAGTCATAAAGTCTGCCGGGGTGGGCTCAGCTGCCACTACTACAAAAAAGGCCTTTGGCGGTAATTATTTAGCGGCAATAAGGTAATTATCGCTAATGGATTCTTTAAGCTGAAATATTAGCGGCATATGACCATTGGCCAGTAAAAGATATTCTTTAGCGACACTAAAAAAATTACCACTAAAAATCATTGACTGATACCAATTTTTTGTTATTTTAACTTTCCCTCCGTACAAAATAAAATAAAATCTTCCCTCCAGTACTTTGAACAAGAATTAAGTATTCCCTCCAATTAGAAAAAAGAAACCTATTCCCTTCTGCCAATACGTGTTTTGCCAAAAAAGAAAACAAAACCTATTCCCTTTCGATAGTCTCTAGACTGCGAAATTGCTCCAATTAACAGTCTCTGGTTAACAAAATTGCTGCAGCCTGCGACAGTCTCTGCCCTGCCACAGCTCCGATGATCTTCTTCCCAAATCCTAGGTAACTTTCTCTTCTTCCCCATGTAAATGTTGCGAAATCTATTGTCAATATTTTCCCTCTCATCTGTCTTACCCAAATCTGCAAAATTTTGCAAATCTTCCCCAAATTAGCTAAGAATGAGAGCTCTAAATTATGGAGCATGAATATATCGAAGTTTAAGGTGAGAAGAAATATAGAATGCTTGCCCAATAAGCTTACCTTTTTGGAATTTTCGAGGATGAACGAGTGGCAAAAAAATTATTACTTTTTGTATGTCTTTTTTGTAAAAAATACCTCCTTATTACTCCATTAATGAAGTTTCTTATCTTATGAAAAAGAAAAAAGGAGTAAAAAAGAAGAAGTATTTCCTTAGGATTACTTATTGTGTCTATTATCTTTCTTATCTCCTGCTTCATTCTCAATGTTTTGTATCAGGTGGACCCTTTTATGGGAGCTCTATAAAACCAAAATATAAGATTGAACTTCTTCCGTAAGATTCACCTTTTCATCCGGTAAGTTGCTTGTCATGTCTTTTACTTTTTGAAGTTCGATTAGACGCCTCTCATAAACTTTGTATGCCATTGAAAATTTAAGATTTTGATGCTTTTACATATGAAAGAAGTTACTGAAATAGTATAGATCCATGTTTGTGGAAATTGGGACCTAATGTCACCTCTTAGTCTCGCTCACACAGGATCATCCAAGAGTTTCATTTCATTTGGAAGAATCACTGGTCTTAATTTGTAAAATGAAATGGCATATTTAGATACATCATGCAGGCTAGACTTCTCTTTTTCTTTCATAAGAACCAAGTTCACTGTACATGCCACAAGTAGTATTCATGCTTCATCATTGTTTAGTTTTTCTTAGATAAGACCGCTAATTTATGCTTTAGTGTTGTCAAAAGCGAAAAGCTCTAAAAAGCGTTCCAGGTCGATTCGGGCTTCAAATGAAAAGCGCAACTAAAGTACGGGATTTAGTTAAAAAAAAAGGTGCAACTTAGGGGAAAAAATAAAATACATATGTAATTCAAGAAAGAAGTAACAAACCCATTCCTAATTTCTTTGTCAACAACTAATGTACTTATTTGTTGATAATATTTATCGTTTAGCACCACTCGATTCAAGATAGAACTCATAGAAAATGAGGCGTACACCTTAGTGCTTTGCCTACATTGAAGCGCAACATAAGCAAGGCGAAGCACCCTCCCTGAGCTTTTCTGAGCTTCAGTGCTTAAGCGCGCCTTAAATGAGCCTTTGACAACACATGCTTAAATTGTTTGTATATAATATACCTATCCGTTGTTTAACACCATTCAAATGAGACAACAATTAATGCTTAAATTGTTTTAGAACTTGTCCATTGTTTACTGTAAAACTTATAATTTTCTTTATATTTCTCCTTCTTTTGATACGTCTTTGACTTCCACAGTTAATACTTTTAAGGGGATTGGTTATTGTTGTAGTATTTTGACTTGGCTTAGAATTTTGTGGTTAATTTTAATATGCTATGTTGGAGTTTTGATACATAAAAACAGTGAAGCCTGCTACATAGGTTGCCACTTCATTTTCCGTATTTGAACTTAAGAATAAGAGGTATAAATAAAGAAAAGCTAGGAAAATGCCTTGATCTACACATGCTCAAATTGTATTAGAACTTTCTAATCCAATTTTATAAATAGAAAGTTTCTCAGTTATATTGTAGATCATCAGACTAAGCAAATTAAGTATATTTGGCTGCATGTTCTTTTTATCTGGTAAGTAAAAGGAAAGCAGCTATAGGCGAATCATTTTGCTAGATCCAGAAAAGCTACATTTGACCTAGAAATTGCCTAAGCTTTTAAGCGTCTCTATTTCATTCAACATTTGTTATATCCACGTGCCAACATTGTCATGGTAAAAAGTAGGAATAATTTTATTAAGTTGCGTCTCTTTGTTTTTCCTTAACGAAATCTTTTCCTCTTTTTTCCCGTATTTCATGTTGTAAAATATATTCATAAATGTGTTAATTTCTATTTTTTTTCCTTCTAGCACAATCTCAGTATCCTTCAATATAATTTCGAGGATTGTTGGAATAAGTTGGATGTAAGGATGGTGCTAAAAACTTGGCATGCTAGAATGAAGATAAAATGTGAAGGCCGAAGACATAGCTTTGTATTCTGGTCTTAACAAAGTAAATTGATCCATTGAAGAGCATTCTTAAAGTGGGTTGAAAAGCATTCTGAAGGTGAGTAATAAGAGAATGTATAATGAACTCATAACAAAAAAAGAATACTTAAGTGAGGATCCAAGCTTCTGGGCCATACATTGATCACTAGAATAATAAATAATTTGTTAGAGCAAAGAACTAATTTGAGAACCCAAATATTTAGAATTTGAAGATGTAATTGGAAGGATTTACAGCATTAAAGTAGTTATAGGTATTTGTAGCTAGAAATGTTGCGGCCACAGTGATAGCAAGGAGTGCCAAAAGGAAAACAAAAGCAACCAACATGGTCTTGCCTATACCTTGTGTTACGATATTGGACAACAAGAAGAAAATTGACACCTAAGGCTTGGAGCAGAGGATAAGAGAGGACAAGGGGAGTTCACTAATTCTTTATTACATAAACACACAAGATGTAGGGAATTCTATCCATATTTGATAATTTCAAATATTATACACGGGGAATGAAAAGATGGACTATACCATATTTACTGGATTTGCTTATTTTTGCACAGATACATTCACTAAAACAAGTCAAAGAAGCCTCTGAAAGATGTTTCATTTAGTAAATGGTGCAAAGGAATGTTGTAAAATTGCATGATTTCGAATATGAAGTAGGTTCTGGAATAAGTGATTGTCCGTGTTCTCTGAATATACTCTGGTCTTAGATGTTTCATTGTTTCATCTTCTTGCTGTTTTTACTGTGCATAAACTGAGGTTTTATTATGATATTGTTAACAAATGAGACAATTCATGCGCAAATATGCTCCTAATGTATCTATGACTCAAAGCAATGGCACCTCATGTGAACAGGTAACTCCCTTACATAAGCTTTAGACATTTTTAATGAAATTCTGATCATATAAAACTATTATTATCTAACATGTTAATATTTATTAGATCCTTGACGCCAACAATGGACGTGAACGAGTACCACAAACATCAAGGATACCTAGAGTTGTTGAAAATGCCCAACCTTCTCACGGTACTACTCATCTTTGAGTTTTCCTCCTTCGACATTTATTAATTTGTTGTTGTATTTGGGCTTACTTGAATGCTTCTTGCTGTTATATATTTCCTTTCTTACGGTTGGTTTCCGTATAAAAAATATATATCTTTTACAATTAAAAAAAGTCTTTTGTGTCTTCTTTAGACTATTACAATTAGAAATAGTCTTCTGTGTCTTCTCAACAATATTTTTTATTAATTTCTTACTTTTAGCTAAACAATATATATCTTTTACAATTAGAAATATTCTTTTGTGTCTTCTTTTGCCTCTTCTTTATATATTGTGTTTTTCATTACCTAATAAGCCTCTTAAAGTTTGTGGCCTTGTCTAAGATACCCAAAATACATTTAAGAATAAACTACAGATCTACCATGTATGATGGCTATGCAATCACAAATGGTCTACTAATTCTAAGGACCTATAGAAAAAGAATCTGCTACAGTAGTTGAAGCCTCTTCTCTGGGGCCTACCATGAGTTAAACAACATTGTGAGCACACTAGTTCGCGGAGATGTATTTCTGCATAAAATGAACGGGATTAATTGGTCGGGAAACTTATAAGAAGAATTAGGATTTAGAGGGGGATTTTCAAAAAGTGGTGTAGAGAATTCATAAAATAGGTTTTTAGCTGTGAGAGGGTCAAAACCATAGACACGAAACTTAGCAGGGCGAATATGAGTGGTTGCCCAGGGAACTCTGCAGCATATGAGTGAGCTTTGAATTTATGTTGTACACAGAAGGCCAATATTATCTAAAGGAAAGATAGTAGTAAGTGGTTATCACATGCACAAATAAAAGGAGAAATACTTGTATGGAATGTGAGTTGTCTTAGAGGCTAGTGCAGAAATGACATCCCCAAGTGCAGACAATGACTTGTTTATGAATTGTGACAGTGATGGAATCCTCAAGATGTTTTCTCATATTGTATTTTATCTTCTGACACCGTTATTTTATAATTTCAGGTCATATAGTTTGATGTTCGATGATTTAGCAGGTGGAAGATTCAAAATGATGAAAAGTTGCGGAAATCATTTAAATACCATCATTTCGTCTGGATTAGTTATATAATGACATTAGCTATTTAGTTCAAAAAATATAAGTTTAGTTACTATGACATCAATATTTTTTATTAGTACTTCCTTTTGTTTGTAAAGATTTAATGAGGTATATTTTTTTTGTTACTATTAATATTTTTTATTATTTGGATCATATTCTGGATGAATGTAGTAACTATAATTAATGGTGGCTACACTATTGCTATTACCGCTTGTGACTTTTAGCACTAATTTAGTCTGATATACCAGCTATATAAATGCACAATAAAGGGGCAAATTAAGATGTTTTCACAAGGGATTTTGCAGTCGTTATAATTGTTGTAAAATAATTATCGTTAAAGATGTTGATATTTAGCGGCAATTTAGTTAAACATATTAGCCAGTAAAATGGATGCTAAAACGACAAACTAAGATGTTTTCAGAAGGGATACTATGGCCATTTTAATTGCCACAAAATAATTGCCGTTAAAGGTGCGAACTTTTAGCGGTATTTATTTTGAATTTAGGGGCTATAAAAATGGATACTAAAGGAGTATAATTAACCGTTATGGATTGGATTTAGTAGCCATTATAATTGCCGCAAACATTGCCGTTAAAGATGCGAACTTTTAGCGGCAATTATTTTGAATTTAGCGGCTATAAAAATGGATGCTAAAGGAGTATAATTAGCCGTTATGGATTGGATTGAGTAGCCATTATAATTGCCGCAAACAATTGTCGTTAAAGATAATAATCTCTAGCGGTAATAAACCATACCTTTTACCAGCTTTTGTGACAATAGCCGCTAAAGGCTTTGCCGACCCCAGCTTCAACGGCGAAATACTAATTGTCGGTAAAAGATATAGCGGCTATTGTTATTGCCGCTAAAGCCGTTTTGCATTGCCGCTAAAGCCCATTTTTGTTGTAGTGTGCGGGCACCTCGCCCTGCTCCTCAATAATAGGATCTCCCGTGGGATCTGCTGGTGGTGCGACTGGAATAACTCTGGGACGTCCTCGTCCCCTACCACGGGCCGGTGCCCTCCCCCGGCCTCTGCCTCGGCCTCGAGCAACGGGGGGAGCAGCTCCGCCCTGGTCTGGAACATCAGCCGTGCGTGTCCTCACCATCTGCGAGAGAATAGAGAAGGAAACTTAGTACACTGACCACTGCACTGCAGATATACCTCGAAGTCACTAGAGCAGTCGCCTCGCCTCAGGGATGATAAGACTGAGCGAAAGTACCTGGAGCTGCACATGAAAAACACGCAGAAGGGGCATGAGTACACCACAACGGTACTCAGTAAGTGCCAAGCCTAACCTCGGTTGGGTAGTGACGAGGAAGGTCAGGGCCCTACTGAGGTTAAATAAGATAGTAGGTTTAACAGTGTGAAATAAACAGTGTAAATAAGTGACACAAGATATAAAGGACAGCAACAACTATCACAGAGGCAAGTAAAACACAGTAAGAGAATACAGCTCAGCTACAAGATAACAACCGGGGATCTCCCAGGATACCGTCCTATAGTCCCCAAATATAAATACCATATCCAGTGGATCTCCCGGGTGCAGTCCCGTAGTCCAACTCATAAATGTGCAGGGGGATCTCCCGGAATGCAATTCCGTAGTCCCAAAGTAAACATACAGGGGAGCTCCCGGGATACCGTCTCGTAGTCCCAAAGTAAAAGTGCAGTGGGATCTCCCGGAATACCGTTCCGTAGTCCCAAAGTAAACATGCAGGGGAGCTCCCGAGATACCATCCCGTAGTCCCAAAGTAAATATGCAGCAACAACAAGAATTCAATCCAATCAATTTCATATCAAAGTGAAGCAGGTAATCTTAGCCTAGCATGGTGCACGTAATACAATTAAGGCAGTTAAGGCAAATAGACCAATTTAGACAAGTAGACATGCTTCTCTAGGCTACATCAGGTTTAATTTCCAAACAGTGTAAGTAAGAAAAAGGAAGAACACAATTTAAGGCTATTTCTAATGAAAAACCGGATTTCCAACAATTAGCACAAGTACGCGCTCGTCAACTCACGTACGAGGCATTTCAATTACCACAATATCAATCCTAAGGGGAAAAGGTCCCCCACACAAGGTTAGACAAGCCACTTACCTCGAACCGGCTCAAAATCAACCCGAGATCACGTTCTTGCCACGAGTATTCGACTCCAAATGGCCACAATCTATTCAATTCAATTTCATAATGTAAATAACACCTCACGTAACTGATTCCACAATTAAATTCTAAGCTAATACGCAAAATTAGGTATGACCAAAATGCCCCTCGGGCCCACGTCTCGGAATCGGGTAAAATTTATATTTTCAGAATCCTCACACTCTCACTAGTCTAACCATAACAAAATTACCCCAATCCGATGTCAAATCCCCAATCAAAACTCAATTTCTTGGTCTAGGAACTTTTCCCCCAATTTTCATACAAATTCCGAAATTAAAGGATGAATTCATGTTTAGATTAATGGGTTACAAGCAAAAATGAGTCAAGAACCGTTACCCAATCGATATCTCTGAAAATCCCTCCAAATCTCGCTCAAACCCGAGCTCCCAAGATTAAGTTTTGATAAAAATGGCTAAACCCTCGATTTTGAAATCTTATATCTGCACAGGCGCGTTCTTCTTCGCGAACGCGAGGCTACTATCGCGAACGCGATGCACAAAAGTCCTGCTGGCCAAATTCCTCTTAAGCGAACGCGAGGTCCACTCGCGAACGCGTAGCTTACACGGGCAGACCCAACGCGAACGCGGGGACCATGTCGCGAACGCGAAGACTAATGGATCCTTACCTTCGCGAACGCGGGACATCATCGCGAACGCGAAGCACATTTCAGCTGCTCCACCCAGATGTTTCTACGCGAACGCGAGACCCTCTCGCGAATGCGATGAAGGTTTTCTCTGCAACACAACAACAGAAAATCTGCAATCTTTCCAAGTCCAAAAATGGTCCGTTGAGCATCCGAAACAGACCCGAGGCCCCGGGGACCTCAACCAAACCTGCCAACCAATCCCAAAATATCATTCAAACTTGTTCAAACCTTCGGAACGCTCAAAACAACATCAAAACACCTATTTTTCATCGGATTCAAGCCTAAGAATTCCAAAAACTCTAAAAATACGCTTTCGATCAAAAAGTCTATCAAATCTCGTCCGAATGACCTAAAATTTTGCAAGCACGTCACATTCAATACTACGGAGCTACTCCAACTTTCGGAATTCCATTCTGACCCTCGGATCAAATCTCACTATCGAACCGGAACTTTAAAATTCGACCTTTCGGCATTTCAAGCCTAAATTAGCTGCGGACCTCCAAAACACAATCCGACCACGCCCCTGAACCCGAATCACCCAACGGAGCTAACGGAACTATCGGATTTCCATTCCGAGGCCGTCTTCACACTGTTCAAACTACGGTCAACTTTCCATCACTTAAGCTCTAGTTTAGGGACTAAGTGTCCCAAAACTCTCCAAAACTTAAAACCGAACATCCCGGAAAATCAAAATAGCAGAAATAGACTCGGGGAAAGCAGTTAGTAGGGGATCGGGGCGTTAATTCTTAAGACGAACGGTCGGGTCGTCACATCTTCCTACACTTAAACATTCGTTCGTCCTCGAACGAGCATAGAGACATACCTGAAGTGAAGCTGCTCATGGCCCTAAACTGCTGAGCGACGCGCTAGAGCTCCAAACGACCGGTTGGGTCGTTACATCCTCTCCCACTTAAACATATGTTCGTCCTCGAACGTGCTAAGAACTGTGTTGGAGTTGTCCAAAATCATTGTTTAACACCTCGAGCGCCTACCCGTGCTACCACAACTCAGCTGGGTACCCTAGCTCGATCAATCTGAAGATATCTTTTTTTTTCACTTAAGCAAATAAGCCTTAGAGCCCAATTCCTACATCCAGAATTCTCTGTCAGGCCTGCCCCAACATACGTTCACCGTATCAATAACTAACCGCGGCACCAAAACATGACTGGATGCCTTAGCTGAATTCACACCTTGCACCACTTTACTCACAGGACCACAATAACATTCTCTGATCAAACTAGTCGAAATTCCACGAATCTGATGCTCCCATTGCACCTCATGACCTACATAGGTCTTGCTCTAACTCTTACAATACCGCCAAGACGGAAGAGGTGTGTAGAAATTCATACCCAACTGCCGAATTAACAAATCATTGGGTCTATACTCCTGGTAAGAACCATCACCTCATTCTGAACCAAATAATGGTCTTAGTTCCTTAATATACTTCATATAATCAGATTGCACTGATCCTAAATGATCTCGTCTCACCCAGTACGAACCGCTCAGGCAATAAGCCACCCCGGGCATGATCAAAAGTCTCATATGATGCCATAATGTGCCAATAGGCTATGAACTCGAATGTGACAAAAGGAAAACGAACTCTAGAAGGAACTACTCAACTCACGCACTGATATGAACTTTCGTTAGAGAATAGGAAGCAAGGCTTACATGAAAAAATAGCATATAGAAAACTGTACTCAATATCACACTGTTGCGGCATGCAACCCGATTCAAATAACATATCCATGGCGGCGTGCCACCCGATCCACATATACAATTCACATAAGGAGATATACATCGAGCTAAACTACTCATTATAACAAAATTCCGAATATCGGTCACAAGCACGCTAAGTGCATAATACCATCCCTGGGGAGACATATAGTGCCATAGGCTACAAAACTCAAACACAACTGAGGTGCGATATACGATCTGAATCTCGAGAGCCATCCTGCTCATATAACATCATCTCTAAGCGGAACCTCAACACATAAAAAATTCATCAAGCTGTCTCACAACTCATACGGCGCAATATATCATTTCATGAAATAGCTGACGACGAAATAGTACTCTGACTACTTGTCCAAAGGAGCGCATTGCTGAAATGAACACATCTGGCCTGATATAGAGCCCATATTCACATTTAGACCCATCCACAGACCTCAAGCTGATTCTGATCACACTGAACTAGGCTAACAACCTTTTGAAGGTCCATAATAACCCCCTTTTTCTCATAACACATGAGAACTACCATCATAACCGGGGCAATCCTCCACGGTCCACAACCCAATAAGTCGAGTGCCCTCCAAGCATAAATTCTCAAATTAATGACATCATCACCG